ATAAAAAGAAAGCATTAAATCCAGGTACGTCACGTGAATTGTTTTCCATTCACCGAGCCATTAGACTTGATCATAAAATGTTTATTAGAATAAGAGGTAAAGTTTTAGCTTAAATCCACCTTTGGGGTGTACCCCAAACCAACTGTGATAGCCGAACTTTCACAATGAGCATTTTATTTTTGTGCTTGGTCTTTGCGAAGAATTCCACTTCTCTATGTTTGTTTCTAAAAGAACCATAGTTGAAGAACTTTCTGTTTCCCTCTCAACATCTATGTGAAACTTCCTTTCAACAAGGATCCTAAGCTATTAATAACAATGAGCATGAGCTCACAGAGGAAATAAAGGTCACCAGCCAGGAACATTCTCCACCTCTGCCACCAAAACTACAGAGTTCATGCTTCCCTCCCTACTAGAAGAACAGTCTCCTCCAACCCAAAGCCTCTGCTCTGCTTACGCCAGGTCTCAGCCTCTCTCCAGACTTCTCAGTGGCCTCCATCTGCCTTCCTCGATGTGTCCCTCCCTTCAGTACTGACATTGTTCTACATACTCCCACGTCCCACCTTGACCCTGCTCCACATTTGGAGATGTCTGGTTACTTACAAAAGAGTCTCCCTTTCCAGAGCTTCCTTTTCTAGACTGCTCTCCCTTCTCTTTCTTGGTGTTTCTTTTCTTCGTCTTCTTCTACTTGGTCTTAACAGATTCTGGAAGGTTCTGCCATTGGCCAGTCCTCACTTAGCACACACTATTGGAGGCATCTCCTCACCGCCTTTGTTCAAATCTATCTGCTAGCTCCCAGGCCCCCATCCCAACACCACGCACACAAGTCACCAGATCTCTTTCCTACGTGGATCAAGTCTGATCACACCACTGACTCCCATCTGCTTTAGGATAAAACCGAGCTCTTTCCCGGGCCATCAGAGGCCTCTCGAATCTAGCCTCACCTGGTCTCCAGCTCCACCTCTTCCCCGTCTCCTAGACTTGCGCCTCCCAGCCACGCTGGGCTCCCCTTCTCATCTTGGATGGCTCATGCTCTCTCAACTCAAAACTGTCCTTCATCTGATTCTTTTTTATCCAGAACCTTCCCTGCTGGCCCTTCAGCCTGCCCCACCCAGCATGCCGTCCTTTCGGAGGCATTTTCCTCAGGCTGTGTCAGGATCCACCGACTTACCTCACATAGCACCTGTGCATGTGTACATTTCCTGCCAAAACACTGGCTATGAGTTTTTGAATTGTCTATTTTTGTTTTGGTGCTAAGCATTAAACTCAGAACTTAGCACATTACTAGGCAAGCACTCTACCACTACATCTAAGCCCTACTGTTTGGTATATTGTTTACTGCTTTATTCTACTTCCTATTTCAGTGCCTGATGAATACTAAGTAATCAGAATTATTTGTTGAATAAATGAATTTACCTAACAGACAAGAACACTCCTCTGAACATTCGTGCTTGACAGTTTTTACCTTTAGGAAGGCAGACCAAGGTCTTCTCCCATTTGTTAATTAACTTCTGCTTCTAAACCAATCTGCTCGTTCATAACAATGAGATGATTTCGTGAAATCACAGAGGAGGCTGTATTACCCAAAGACAGCTGAGTTGCAATTCTGCTGTTTTATGAGCTCAACTGAAAAGGTGTCTAACGTCTGACTCAAATAGCTGCTAGATATTTTTATCTTTAGATCAGCTGGGAGATGTGCAATACGTTGTGAAACCTGCTGTAAATATCATGGTTAATATTTGATTGTGAAAACACTTTCAACATCTAAAGAAATTTACTACACTGCTAAATACAGTGTCATTAACTGTTGGACCTTAGATCTTTCCAAAGGAAGACAACAAATAAGAAACCGGGAGCTCGCTCTGTGGTCGTTTGTGACAGGCCTTGGATTCCATCCCCAGCATACACACACACAAAGTGACAATTTCTAAGGGAAAAATCAAGGTACATGCAAACATTTAACTCCATAGGAACACTTTCAAGAGTAGCTGATAGTATGATTGAAAAAACTGTTGCCTTGTGCATCCTTGTGGGAAGACGGAAGGAGTAAGGAATAGCTCTTGCTGGGGTTGTAGAGCTTTGGGAATCTTTCGTTTGTTGTCTGTTTTGGTTTTTGAGCAAGCTCTCATGTTGTGGCCCACTGGCCTTGAACTCATTGAGTACTCCAAGCTGGCTTCCGACTCAGGCTCTTCCTGCCTCTTTGAGTGCTGGGGTTACAAAAAATGCCCTGGTGACTTCCTTGCCACGTGGAAAGCTGTCTGCTTGGTGATTCTTGCTGGGTATATGGACTTAGAATACAGGGAAATCTCAACTTCAGATTCATGAGCACCAAAGTGAACCTTTTCCACACTGCCAGGATACCTAAGATTCCAGGTGTTTGTGCACCTGGTGGGAAAGGCCTGGGTGTTGATGTACATATTATTTGGACTTTGTTGCTTTGTGCTCTGGTGGCCATTTTTGAGCTTTAATCAAATATAGACACCTATGGAAGGAGTGGAGCTTTAAACTCCGCTAAAAGGAACACAGAAGGGGGTTGGCTGAGGAGCACAATTTTCTAGATAAGAGATGACCTTCACAGACCCCTCCAGTCTGAAAACTGTATGATCCCATGCACATCATCTGTCTAGACAGGAAATGTGGACTCTGCTCATGCTTTTCTGGCTACAAAATGAGAAAGAAGTACACCACCTAAAGGTGGATTCTAGAAACTGCTCAGCATGAGCCAGGAAAAATAACCAAAACCAAAACGAGAGTCCTTCCTTATACAGAACGCTCTTCAAAAATCCGCATTTGCTTTTGTTCTGATCTTCCAAAGCAGTTGCAACTCTAACAGGCAAATGCACAGTCCTCCATCCATTCATCTCTCAGAGAAGCTCATGGGACAAGAAAGCTGAATCCTCCTTTGAGAACTATGGACAGAGACCTGGGAAGGTAAGTCAGCTGCCCATGCCTACACACTAGCTAGGCTCTTACCGCTGTTAGCTGGTAAGAGGGGCTTGAACTTAGTGACTGGATGCTGTCCCTGAGCTCTTTTTTTTTTTTTGGCTCAAGGTTGACACTCTACTACTTGAAGCTCAGCTTTGCTTCGGTTCTTTGGTGGTTACTTGGAGTTAAGTCTCATGTACTTTTCAGCCCGGGGTCACCCTCAACTGTGATCCTCAGATGTCAGCTTCCTGAGAGCTGAGATTACAGACATGAACTGCCAGCACCCCATATGGTCTGATCACTAACAAGCCAGAGGGGTGAAGACTTCCCTGCTTGTCCTCACTGCAGTGTGGTCCTCAGACATAATCAGAACCCATCTGTGCATTCCAAGCCTTTCCTCGGCTGTTCCCCACAGAGCCTGAACCCACCTCGGCCATTCTGGCTCCCTGTATTTCTCACCTTCGGCCTTCTGCCCTCCATTTCTGAAACGTTCCAGCTCCTACTCGGCTGAGGTCCCAGAAGCCTCTGTGTCCTGTCTCAGACATCTAAAGACCCACCCTGAACTCCTGCCAGGAGCCAGCAGCCTGTCCTTCCTCACGTTCTGTAAGCCGCACCCCAGGAGTCCTTCCTGGCTTTCTTGGGTAAAACACAAGTTTGGGAGCTTGACTCCTCATAATGCGCTGCGTGCACAAGGCCTTGCTCAACCTGGCAGAGCTCTGCTCCCCACAGGATGCCTGGCGTCCCCCTCCTCCTGGCTCAGGACGGAAAGGGCAGGGGGAGGAACACATCTACACCGCGATGGAGGGAGCTTTCTTTCCCCATCTCCTTTGGGGCCTCCAGCCCACCCAAGACATTCAATAGAGGCTTATGAACTGAAGAAAAGCAAGTGTGTGGGTCCAAGAGATCAGGCCACACACTGGCATGTGGTGTAGTGTTTGGCACCTAGTAGTGGTTCATGGAACATGTATTGACAGAGGTAACATTTCCATGATCTCATTCAAACTATGAAACCTCAAGTATCTTGGGCAAGAACCCGTGGTTTAGTGCAATAACCATTCAGATAAGTTCTTCCCCAAGCCATCTGTGGCCTAGAATTAATAAGATGCACCTGATGAGGGAAGAGGACAGAAGGCAGGAAGGACAAGAGTTAAGACTTCCAGTCAAGCGAAGTTAGGCAGGCAGAAAAGTTCTTTCCACTTGTCATGTCTTCCAGCTTAAAAAGAAAGTGACTGAGAGCAGGTCCTTTACAAATAGCAATTTCCGTAGAAACAACCTGTCTCGCACTGTACACTGCAACTCAAATTGCATCCAGCAAGAGCTCACAGTTCCTCTCAAATCTACCTGACTTCTAGAAGCTGGGAGGGGAGGAAAAAAAAAATCTGAGGAGCAGAGGAGACTAGGCACTGGGAATCCAAGACGGAGAGGAAGGTGAAGGCTCCCGGTAAATGTGTTCTACACACTTCCACATAACAGTGTAAAATGTGCATTGACTTCCCCTGCTGTCCTCTAAGAGGTCTGAAAAGTTGGGGGTGGGGGGAGTCTGTGACTTGCTCTGGCAGTAGGAAGGGATTTAGATCCTCACACCCATGAATATTCTTTGAATTCCCAACAGGAGGATGTGGTGGAATGGATAATAGGAAGTTGTTAGAACAGGGTAACATAATATGGCCAGACTTATGTAATAATGTATTATGTAACACGTAATAAAGACCAGAATTTAAGAAGGGCAAGAGGAAAGAAGGCTGGTAACAATCTTTGACACTGAATAACACTTCTGAGAGATTTTTCTCTCTGTGTGTGTAAATTACATCCTTTCATCTCTATTAGCAAAACAAGAACCAAAACCCAGAAGAAACATTTCGCATTCACACTGGAATTGTGGACTCAAAAAACACTAAGATAAACTAGTGCATGGTCCACTTAAAAACACTTTGAGCTCATCAAACACTTATACCCCCTTTTCCTTCTCCTCTAGACACCAAGAATTGGGGACATTCAAGTCTTAATCGCACACATGAGTTCATGCAAGTCTGAATAAAGAGTAACTCATACATTTGACTTGTAGATTTTAACAGTAGTCATGATCATCTTTTATTGATTTTTATAAACAGCGAATAGATTACATTTATGCTCCATATTTCTTCCCAATATACTTATAGCACAACTCACCACAGTTCTTCAATAAATATTCATTAAATCATTTTGTGGAGGCATTGGGGCTAAATCTCTTTTGAGTGAGATTTCAAAACAAATATTCAGAGACCTAAATATCTGGCAATTATTTCCTTCATGATAAAGAAAACATCCATCAGGTTTGTCATTTGGAACTATTTTAAAAGTGCAGTCCAAACAATTTAGTTGAAAATAAGTCATGTAAAATATATCTGCACATCACGCTTCCCTATCTAGGCACATTCAGAGTCACATTTTTATGTTTCTTAAATAATTCTTTTTAAATGATAACTATCAATATCAAATATCAAACGGTTGAACTGATACCTTTTACAGATTCCAATTTATTTATTCATTAGTATTCATTGGGAATAATGTCCCTAGAGAATAAGGCGTGTGTGTGTGTGTGTGTGTGTATGTGTGTGTGTGTGTGTGTGTGTGTGTGTGTGTGTGTGTGTAAGATGGTAATCTTATTCTTCCTGCTATTTAGTCCATCACTGCGGATGGAGCAGATTTTTCCCCCCATTTAAACAAAGCCCTATATTATGAGCCAACATTGAAGAATGAGTCACTTGGCAAGCAAGCCACCATCTTTACATTATTGGTATTGCTTGGCTATCCCTTGGTGCTTAGCATCAGCATGTTAAGCTCAGTGGATCTCTCTGAGTGGATAGGGGCACTATGAGACAAAAGGAGTGCGTCCAGGCCCCGACACCGTGTCCCTGGACCAGTGTCTGATATTTCTAGCATGAGGTAAAATGGTGCTACTCATGGCATCTTCCATGCAGCCGCTTCACCAGCAGTACACACCAGGCTGATTTTTAATGCTGATTTTTATGGGGCTGTGTGCAGATTACTTTCCCTTGTTAAAGATCTTCATGAAAACCCGGCCATAGCCTAGTCAGCCTTGGAAGACGCTCCCTGGCGTCCGCCGTCACGCTCACCGCTGCTCTCCACGGAGCTGTTGCACTTCCCTTCTGCCATCTTCTTCACATAATTAAGCGGTCCTGACCCCTCGAAAGCGGATGGATTTTTGAACGAGCCCCCGATCCTATCCCACAGGGTGAAGTACTGTCCATAGTTATAGTCAAAGAACAGGTGGTGGTCGGTGTGATGCGCCGAGCCGTTAATGAATGGCTTCAAGGCCCGGGGCACACGAAAATCCCCATCGTGAATGGAGATCGTCCAGATATTGACCAGGACGTACAGAGTCAGGTAAACCACCTTGTGCAGCGGGAAGACGAAGGGGTAGATGTGGTAAGGCAGGCTCTGGACAAAGCCATCCACAGGGTGGAAGGCATGGCTTGCAAACGGAGTGGGCACCTTCCAAATGTGGTGAGGTTTGTGTATGTTCTGGGGAAGAAAGGAACGCAGCACCATTACTCTCCCCCGCCCTGCCCGTTCACCTTCGCATCCTGCAAACAACCTACCTGGAAAATCCTTCTGACACCGGCGGTCATTTCAGACAAGGCTTCCTTCTTTACCCCCAAATAGTAATTTTTTAATATAATTTTATTGTCATTATTCAGGTGTTGCAGACCCTCTCCTCTGCTGTCCCCTGCGCCCACCTTCCCGCCCCTGCCCGCAAGTTACATAGGTCAATTCCCCTATAGCACGGACTGAATATCATGTCCACATGTGCTCACCCACCCCCCTCCCTTCCTACGCCCCTTACTCCTCCTAAAAGGGGGGAAAAGACAAAAAAACTAAACATGAACACCACCAACAATAACAGAAAAACCCACGTTTCCAGTTCCTGGGGCTCATTTCACCAGATAGTATCTTACGTGTTCAGAGGAGTTATGCCATGTAGGAGAGAAAGCATGGGCCATGTGTCTCTCTGAGCTTGGCCTACCTCACTTAGCATGGTTTGTTCTAGGTCCCTGCAAATGACATCATCTTATTCTTTCTAGCAGATGTATAAACTTCCACTGTGTACATGTACATTTTAGTGACCCACCCATCTGCTCTTGGGCATTTGAGCTGAAATGACCATTTTAAGAACAGCCCCTTGGGACCCACAGAGAACAGCGCGGACTTGATGCCCCCAGGATGAGGATGCCCCTTGAGGATGAGCTACATGAGAGGAAATCTGTGGAGCTAGAGAAAGGACGCTACCTTGTACAGCAGTCTATGGTGCAGGCCGCGGTGGATGAAGTAGATCAGCATGTCGGTGAAGAAGAGGAAGGATACCACGCTACCGGCCAGCTCCACCCAGCCTGGGAGGGCACAGGGACAGAGGAAAGTCAAGGTATGTGTTCACTTTTACATACAAGTGGGTACCTGGGGTCATCCACTGCTCTGGACCCTTCCACCCATTACAAACCATGTTCTGGAATCTGGTCATCTGGCCTTCTTTCTCGTATTAAGAATGGAAAGGTTCTTTTTTTTTTTTTTTGCTGGTCTTGCGGCTTGAACTCAGGGCCTGGGCACTGTCCCTCTGGCTTTTTCTGAGTAGATTATTAGAGATAAAAGTCTCACGAACTTTCCTGTCCGGGAACTTTCCTGTCCGGGCGGGCTTTGAAACGCTATCCTCAGACCTCAGCCTCCTAAGTAGCTAGGATGACAGGTGTAAGCTAGCAGTGCCCGGTGCTGGTTTCTTTTTGAACTTATATACAAGAACATGAAAATCATACATGCTAATGAGAGCTTGTTTCTTAGAATGTAATGATATGTATGAGACAGAAAAGGCTGGCCCCAAGATGACTTTATCTCCCTACTTTGCACCAAATGGTTTAAGATTAGCCTTTACTCCTTTGGATCCTAATATCTTCCTGTACTTCACTGAGTAACACCACCTCAGAGTCGGGAGCCTCCTCTGCACCCTAATCATACTGTTCCCCAAACCACAACTTCCTCCTTTACTCTACAGTCAAAGTATCACCCTAGCGTTTAACTTTTGCTCCCAAACAATCAACCTCTTGCTCTGACAGATACGGCTGGGCTAATGGCTCAGACGCAGTGACCTGCCTAGAATCCCTGCCACACGGGAGGCAGAGACGGGAGGATGGCAGCCTGAGACCAGCCTAAGCAACATGTTCAGGACCCTCTTTGAAAAGCAAGTAGTACAAGGTCCTGAGTTCAAATCCCACTGCTGCCAAAAATGAAACATAAAGGTCTCAGATCTGCTACTTGCAGAGCAAGGGGAATTACCGGAGGTAATCAGATGACGCTCCTCCTTACCATGCGGGGGCTCCCCCAGGTGGTCATAGAGCTTGCTGAACCCTCTGATCTCTAGCAGGAACAGGGAGACCGTGGGGAGGCTCATCCAGGGCAGGGCCCACATGGTGTACTTAATCTCCCGTGACACCTGATTCTGAAAATGAGATCCCCAAGACCAGAGTCACCAAAACGGCTCAGACAGATGAGGGTAGCATCCTTAATCTCTCTGTCTTATTAAGGACTCCCTTCCAACCTGCTCTACAAAAACTATAACACATTTTTCTGTTACATTTAAATGAGAACGGAGTAGGAGAAAAAAACATTCCTTTTGTGCAGAGCAAATACAGGAATATCTTAAATTCTGAAAACTTTTCTCACGAAATCTGCAGTCTAAACCTCTATTTTGGGATATTATTTCTTTCATAATGGACCTCCATTCCATTTATTTACTTTCTCTAACTTCAGTCCTTGGAGAAACTGACAAACAGAGATGGCTAAATGCTGGCCTGATTATAAACAGACTCAAACACGACAGAATTTGAATAGTGTGTCAAAGAAAAACACACATAGTAAAAACATATTTCCAATAATTACACCAATAATTACACAGACTAGTGCATTTATTATCCATTGATCACTATGAGAAAAGTATCTAACCTTTGTTGAGGACTGGTTTTGAAACTACTTAATGGTATCCTATAACTACTTAAATTGAAAATCTCACAAGCATTATATTATTATTTTTGACTCTAACAGCAGTCAGAAATAGGAAAGACTCTTACCTTTAAAAACTGTGGATGTTTCATTAATGAGTGATCAAACACAAAATAGTAGCTCAGTGTGGCAAAGAAAAAGTAGAGGGCATAAGCACCAAGATTTGTTACGATCAGGAGACTGATGGTCTGCCGGAGGATGCTGTCCTCTGGCCAGGAGGCAGGGTAGACGTACGGCGTAAAAAAGTGGTAGTCCGCAACCCCGAGAACAAGGTCCATCTCAGCCCCTAGATGGCAAGCCCGGGCAGCAATTATGAGCACACCTACAGTTTTGTATAAATGATGAATGGGGCTGAGGGGGCGGGGCGGGGGGGGGGGGGGAGGTGGAGAGGGGAGGCGTGGCCTCCATGGTAGAGCACTTGTCCAGAAGGGGGAAGAGGCCCTGGCTTCAAACCCCTGACCCATAACGGAGGACATGTCTGCAGCCACCAGACACTCCTAGATGCTCTAGACCCACCATCCTGTTATAATACGGATCAAAGACACATGGCCAGTTTATAGAGCTGACCCAGGATCCATCATTGATGGCCTGTCTGCTCACCCTTCACTGCTCCAACTACAGAGAAAAATATACTTAGTGTTCTGAAACATCTCCCGTGTAGGACTCGAATTTCGGAGCAAAACTGGAAACTGCCTGGCCACATGAGCTTTCAGGCCTTCAGATAAGCTCAAAAAGGTGAAGAACATCCCGGTATGAACTCAGATGGACCCTGGAAAGGAGCTGGCTCCTTTTCTCCCTTTCACTTCATTAATGTCTACCTTGGAGACCCTCCCATCTCTGAACAGATAACACTCTTCTTTAAAAAAGAAGCAGTAGCACCAAGATAAAAATCACCCGACATGAGCTCTCCATTTAAAAGCAGATGACTCATTAGTGCATTTTGGCATATTGTCAGAGTTCTCATTTCAGAACATTTTCATCACCATGGAAGAAATTCCATCTCCCAGAGGGTGGGCTTCAAATCTGGGTTGCCTGGGACCCAGGACCACTAGTTCTTAAGGTAACTTGCTACCCGTTTCTGTCCTTAAGATCCCCGTAAGGATTTATGGCCCAGCCTCTCCGTTTCTTTTTCCTTCTTCATGCAAACGCTCACTTCAGTAAAGTGGCCGTTCTTCACGATCAACACAGCGATTCCTGGCATCTGTTTACAGATGCGGCCACTTACACATGGTTAGAAGTTTCACTTTCTGTCCCAGGGGCTATCTCCCTGTTTCCCATTGGCTCTTGGTGGAACTGCAATGAGCTGTCACGGGCAGTGTGGTGGTTCCCACACGGTCCGCCCCATTGGCGCCTCAGAGCCACGCCCCAGCCCATCCTACGCCCCAGCGCCGCACTCCCGCCCAGGGCCGCACTCCCGCCGGGCACCCCAGCTGTCTGCCAGGCAGCCCTGAACCACGCGGGACATTTTCACATGCGGTTACATCCCAGGTGACACAACAGCAAGAAAACAAATCAGCCCCAGCCAGTACCTGCAACGTGCACCCCCGCACTCGACGGGCAGCCTGGTTACCTGAAGGCAGGATGAGTCACCAAAGGAGTTCCAGCGCAGACCTGAAACAAAACCACCAAGAACGAAGACTGAGGCTGCGGCGGACCCACGGGGGACTGAAGTTCCGCCTCAAAGGGGCCACCGCGTGTGCAGCTGTGGCACATGCTACCCACGGGCTCTCTGCAGGCATGTTACCCTGAAGCCCCCCAACGGCCACCACGGCCCCTCACCACCACCAACGGAGCATCACACAGGTCCCCATTTAACAGACAGGAGAGGACTTCCTGGCGTGCACCTGACTTACACTAACCTTATGATGAGGAGTCTTCTAGAAGCTCATTCTTTTCCCTCCTCTTCTCTATGAATCTGACACACTACATTGCCCAGACTGATCTCAGTAGGCTCAGCCTTTTGAGTAACTGAGACTGCCAACATGTCTGTCCAGAAGAGCTCACCACTTATAGGGAGGTTAGCTCTTTGCGTATGGTATGAGTTACAAATGTTTTCTCTTACTGTGTCAGGAGCAAATACTTGGGCTCAACACTAAATGGTAGGTACTAACATACGCCCGTCATCTTATATACCGAAAACAACTCACAGAACACGTTATGAGGTGGAAAGCAGCATCGTTAGGGACTTTCTCTTGCAGACAGTGGGGAGGGGGCCTCGCTAAGGACCACGCATTAGAAACAGGAGCTATCCATGCGAAGCGGGAGACGTGAGGGGCTGACTGGGAGCTGATTCCGGGCTAAGCGCAGGTAGAGGCTGGGAGCAGATGCATTTCGCAGCCATGGGGCAGCCTCAGGCCCAGCGAGAGGACCAAGGGTGGCGTCCAGGACGACTGGGGTTTAACCCGCCTGAGTGGAGGGGCAGGGAATCCTGGGAGGGTCTGGTGGTCCCCACTGGATAAGCAGTGATGGCCTCCGTTTCAGTCTTAAATCCAGCTGCCGGTGGTTCACCTGGTCTCTGAGCCTGAGCAGCTAAACCACCTGTAGATATGCACGTCAGGTCCAAAAGTAAGCCTGGTAAACAGGCGAGGAGCTGAAGCTGAAGCGCAAAGGGGCCAGGACCGCCAAGGGCAATGAACAGCACAGCACAGCAGGTGCCCCAGCCACAGGACACCGAGGGGTGAAAAGGGCACCGCTGCGCCTCTGACGTTCACTAAGAGTTGAAGGACTGAGCGTCTCGTTCCCTCTGCCAGCACACCTGTCACACACGGAACACGCATTGAACACACTTGACCTGCTACGGTTCCACCACTGCTGTCCTGCCAGGAGCACTAACCGCTGAACCACCGCCGGCCCCGAAGGCCAATCACACTGCAGACCAGCAGCTGGGGGGCGGGGCAGGGAAGCAACATCCACAGCATGATTTCGATTGTGTACAAACCCCGTTCCCCCAGTGAAGTTAAGATCACCAAGTGCCGGTGCCTCAAACTTGTCAGGCTAAGCCAGGCGCTGGTGGCTCACGCCTGTAATCCTAGCTACTCAGGAGGCTGAGATCTGAGGATCGCGGTTCAAAGCCAGCCCAGGCAGGAAAGACCGTGAGACTCCTACCTCCAATAAACCACTAGAAAACCGGAAGTGGCGCTGTAGCTCAAGTGGTAGAGCGCTCGCCTTGAGCTGAAGAGCTGAGGGACAGCATTCAGGCCCAGAGTTCAAGCCCCACAATCGACCAAAAAAAAAAACAAAAAAAACTTGTCAGGCTAGCTATCAGGAGGCTGGGATCAGGAAGGATCACCGTTTGAGACCAGCACAGACGTACACACAGGAGATCCCTTCCCAACCAATAGTTGGTCACGCTGGTGCACTCTTGTCATCCCAGCTACGTGGGAAGGTGAGGGCAGGAAAATCACAGTTCCAGGTCAGTTCCATCTGGGGGGGGAAAGCTGGGTGTGGTGGCACTTGCCTGTGGTCCCCACTAACACAGGAAGCATGTGGCAGGCAGACAGGGGTTCAGGTGTACACACTTGGACAAAAAACAAGACCCAAGACCTGATCTCAAAAGGAGCCAGTGTAAACAGTGGGGGTGGAAGGACGAGTCAGCCAGTCAGCCGTAGAAAGCCTGCCTAGCAAGCACAAGGACCCGAGTTCAAAGTGCCAGGACTGCAAAACCAAAAAACAAGGCAGTCATTAAGTTGGGGGTGCCAGCTACAGTGCCACACAGCTCCAGTTCAATACACCACAAGGATAGCATGGAAGACCGAAAAGAACTCAAGCGCTAGCTAATAATCTTCTTCCTGTTTTTGTATCACATGTAAGAAAGACCCCCTACCAGCATCTCAGTCCTTCACTTTAAAAAACCCTTTAATTTTGCTTTTACAGAAGTACCACACGGCTGTGTTAATGTGTGTACTCTCTGCACATAACTGCTCTAACAGCAAGCCAGTGCCCAGGGAGGAGAACTGTCCCCTCCTTTAGATTTTGCTGAATTAAACCTGTTTTCAAATAATGCGACTTGCTGAGTGTAGTAAGGAGGGATCCATGAATATATTATTGCCATTTCTGACATTGCCAGTTAAACAGTGGGACTGTGGCTGTGGCTGGGGATGGTGGACTTGCCCAAAGACCAGGTGTAAGCCACAGCATCGCCAAAACAAGTCAGCAAAACACTGGGCTCGCAGACAGTAGTGTAACTGTTTTGCTTAACTTAAAAAAGAATAAATAAGAAGAAAGTGGCACTGTGGCTCAAGTGGTAGAACGTTCGCCTTGAGCTGAAGAGCTGATGGACAGCACCCAGGCCCAGAGTTCAAGCCCCACGACTGACAAAAAGAGAGAGAGAATAAATAAGTTTTTTCTTTGTTGTTGTTTCGTCTTACTTGCTCATTTGTCTGTCTTTGAGAGGAAAAGAGGGAGGCACAGAAATGGAGAAAGTGTGAACCAATGCAGCAGTGGTACTCAGGGAAAGACACCACTTGTGGGTGGGAATGGGAAGGAAAAACCCGGAGAGAGGGAGGGAAGGGGCGGCCTTGTCCAAAAGGAAATGCACTCTTCCCTGGCTTGTGTAAAACTACAACCCTCTGAACAGCGTCTTATTACAACAATTAAAAAGTGAAGATAAAAAATAGGTAATAATGCCAGGATCTATTGAGAGCCAGGTATTATTTCAAACTCCTACTTCTTCCCTCCGTGTCCCCTGTTTTGGAGACTTGGTCTAGTAAATGGCCCAGGTCGGTTTGGGATCTTCCTGCCTCGGCCTCCCGGGTGCCAGGAGTCCACATTCCAGGCCACACCTGGTTTTTAATTTCTTTTTTAACCTCATCTAGTTCTGTCCTATAGGTCGATGTTCGTACAAGGTCCTCTTTATCAATGGGTAACTGAGGCCAGGGATACTAAAACTGGCTCTGTCACTGACGCGGCTGGGATGGAGGGGCACCTCTCAAACACAGGGCGGCGCTGACACGACTCCCTCCCCTGCAGGGCGGGGGGCTCAGTCAGCAGGTCAGAGGTCACCGGCTCACCCCGCCGGATGCCAGCCCTGGGCCCCAGCGGGAGGCGGCCGCTACCCGCCGGTTCCCGGCTCCTCCTGGCATCATCCCACCGTCCTAATCCCGACGGACGCCTCGCCCATCAAACACCCACACCCCAGGCACCTCCAGGCAGGGTGAGGCCCCGGCGCCCTGGGCGGGAGCCCGGAGCGCGACGCCGGCCCCCCATCGCCGGACCTCGGGGCTGTGCGCCCGCGCCGCGCCCCGGCCGGGCCGCCCGCGCCCGGGTCACCTACACAGGGGCCGCCCGCGCCCGGGTCACCCACACAGGGGCCGCCCGCACAGGGGCCGCCCGCGCCCGGGTCACCCGCACAGGGGCCGCCCGCACAGGGGCCGCCCGCGCCCGGGTCACCCGCACAGGGGCCGCCCGCGCCCGGGTCACCCGCACAGGGGTCACCCACACAGGGGCCGCCCGCGCCCGGGTCACCTACACAGGGGCCGCCCGCACAGGGGCCGCCCGCGCCCGGGTCACCCGCACAGGGGCCGCCCGCACAGGGGCCGCCCGCGCCCGGGTCACCCGCACAGGGGCCGCCCGCGCCCGGGTCACCCGCACAGGGGCCGCCCGCACAGGGGTCACCCGCGCCCGGACACCCGCCGGCGTCCCCCGCGCCCGGCCCCTCACCTGCCCCGCAGGCCTCCCCGGCCCGCAGGACGCGGCCCGCCCGCTGCGCGGAGCCCGCGGAGCCCGGCCCTTCCGTGAGCCCCGCGGCGCGGCTGCCCCGGCCCGCCCGCGGCGCGGCTGCCCCGACCCCCGCGCCTACCTGGAGGCCCCGATGCCCTGCGAGGAGACCGCGGGCCTCACCGACCGCCCACGCCGGCGTCCGAGCGCTGGGCCCGAGGACGCGAACCTGAACCTGCGGGCCCGGGCCGGGCCGCCGCGGCCGCCAGCCAATCAGCGGCCAGCGCCATAAGCTGATATGACGGCAGATCGCGCGACCCGGCGGGGAGGGGCTCTGCCCGATCACGTGAGCCCGCCGGCCACGCCCCCGCGCCCGCTCAGCCCGGGGGTGGGGGGAGCAGGAGGAGAGAACTAGAGTACCCGGATGGTGGCGCGCTGAGATGGAGTCTAAGGTTTAGCTGTGGGTGGCTTTGCTTTACTTTGCTCTGCTGTGCTCTCCCCTGCTCTACCCTCCCCTGATCTCCCCTGCTCTCCCCTCCCCTGCCCTCCCCTGCTCCCCCCTCCCCTGCTCTCCCCTCCCCTGCTCTCCCCTCCCCTGCTCCCCCCTGCTCTCCCCTCCCCTGCTCCCCCCTGCTCTCCCCTCCCCTGCTCCCCCCTGCTCTCCCCTCCCCTGCTCCCCCCTCCCCTGCTCCCCCCTGCTCTCCCCTCCCCTGCTCTCCCCTCCCCTGCCCTCCCCTGCTCTCCCCTCCCCTGCTCTCCCCTCCCCTGCTCTCCCCTCCCCTGCTCCCCCCTGCTCTCCCCTCCCCTGCTCCCCCCTGCTCTCCCCTCCCCTGCTCCCCCCTGCTCTCCCCTCCCCTGCTCCCCCCTCCCCTGCTCCCCCCTGCTCTCCCCTCCCCTGCTCTCCCCTCTCCTGCTCTCCCCTCCCCTGCTCCCCCCTCCCCTGCCCTCCCCTGCTCTCCCCTCCCCTGCTCTCCCCTCCCCTGCTCCCCCCTCCCCTGCTCTCCCCTGCTCTCCCCTCCCCTGCTCCCCCCTCCCCTGCTCTCCCCTGCTCTCCCCTCCCCTGCTCTCCCCTCCCCTGCTCCCCCCTGCTCTCCCCTCCCCTGCTCTCCCCTCCCCTGCTCTCCCCTCCCCTGCTCCCCCCTCCCCTGCTCTCCCCTCCCCTGCTCCCCCCTGCTCTCCCCTCCCCTGCTCTCCCCTCCCCTGCTCTCCCCTCCCCTGCTCTCCTCTCCCCTGCTCTCCCCTCCCCTGCTCCCCCCTGCTCTCCCCTCCCCTGCTCTCCCCTCCCCTGCTCTCCCCTCCCCTGCTCTCCCCTCCCCTGCTCTCCTCTCCCCTGCTCCCCCCTCCCCTGCTCTCCCCTGCTCTCCCCTCCCCTGCTCTCCCCTCCCCTGCCCTCCCCTGCTCTCCCCTCCCCTGCTCTCCCCTCCCCTGCTCTCCCCTCCCCTGCTCCCCCCTGCTCTCCCCTCCCCTGCTCTCCCCTCCCCTGCTCTCCCCTCCCCTGCTCTCCCCTCCCCTGCTCTCCTCTCCCCTGCTCCCCCCTCCCCTGCTCTCCCCTGCTCTCCCCTCCCCTGCTCTCCCCTCCCCTGCCCTCCCCTGCTCTCCCCTCCCCTGCTCTCCCCTCCCCTGCTCTCCCCTCCCCTGCTCCCCCCTGCTCTCCCCTCCCCTGCTCTCCCCTCCCCTGCTCCCCCCTGCTCTCCCCTCCCCTGCTCCCCCCTGCTCTCCCCTCCCCTGCTCCCCCCTGCTCTCCCCTCCCCTGCTCCCCCCTCCCCTGCTCCCCCCTGCTCTCCCCTCCCCTGCTCTCCCCTCCCCTGCTCTCCCCTCCCCTGCTCCCCCCTCCCCTGCTCTCCCCTGCTCTCCCCTCCCCTGCTCTCCCCTCCCCTGCTCCCCCCTGCTCTCCCCTCCCCTGCTCTCCCCTCCCCTGCTCTCCCCTCCCCTGCTCCCCCCTCCCCTGCTCTCCCCTCCCCTGCTCCCCCCTCCCCTGCTCTCCCCTCCCCTGCTCCCCCCTGCTCTCCCCTCCCCTGCTCCCCCCTCCCCTGCTCCCCCCTGCTCTCCCCTCCCCTGCTCTCCCCTCCCCTGCTCTCCCCTCCCCTGCTCCCCCCTCCCCTGCTCTCCCCTCCCCTGCTCCCCCCTCCCCTGCTCTCCCCTCCCCTGCTCCCCCCTGCTCTCCCCTCCCCTGCTCCCCCCTCCCCTGCTCCCCCCTGCTCTCCCCTCCCCTGCTCTCCCCTCCCCTGCTCTCCCCTCCCCTGCTCCCCCCTCCCCTGCTCTCCCCTGCTCTCCCCTCCCCTGCTCCCCCCTCCCCTGCTCTCCCCTGCTCTCCCCTCCCCTGCTCCCCCCTCCCCTGCTCTCCCCTGCTCTCCCCTCCCCTGCTCTCCCCTCCCCTGCTCTCTCCTGCTCTCCCCTGCTCTCCCCTCCCCTGCTCTCCCCTCCCCTGCTCTCCCCTCCCCTGCTCCCCCCTGCTCTCCCCTCCCCTGCTCTCCCCTCCCCTGCTCTCCCCTCCCCTGCTCCCCCCTGCTCTCCCCTCCCCTGCTCCCCCCTGCTCTCCCCTCCCCTGCTCCCCCCTGCTCTCCCCTCCCCTGCTCCCCCCTCCCCTGCTCCCCCCTGCTCTCCCCTCCCCTGCTCTCCCCTCCCCTGCTCTCCCCTCCCCTGCTCTCCCCTCCCCTGCTCTCCCCTCCCCTGCTCCCCCCTGCTCTCCCCTCCCCTGCTCTCCCCTCCCCTGCTCTCCCCTCCCCTGCTCTCCCCTCCCCTGCTCTCCCCTCCCCTGCTCCCCCCTGCTCTCCCCTCCCCTGCTCTCCCCTCCCCTGCTCTCCCCTCCCCTGCTCCCCCCTGCTCTCCCCTCCCCTGCTCCCCCCTGCTCTCCCCTCCCCTGCTCCCCCCTGCTCTCCCCTCCCCTGCTCCCCCCTCCCCTGCTCCCCCCTGCTCTCCCCTCCCCTGCTCCCCCCTCCCCTGCTCTCCCCTGCTCTCCCCTCCCCTGCTCTCCCCTCCCCTGCTCCCCCCTGCTCTCCCCTCCCCTGCTCTCCCCTCCCCTGCTCTCCCCTCCCCTGCTCCCCCCTCCCCTGCTCTCCCCTCCCCTGCTCTCCCCTCCCCTGCTCTCCCCTCCCCTGCCCTCCCCTGCTCTCCCCTCCCCTGCTCTCCCCTCCCCTGCTCTCCCCTCCCCTGCTCCCCCCTGCTCTCCCCTCCCCTGCTCTCCCCTCCCCTGCTCTCCCCTCCCCTGCTCCCCCCTCCCCTGCTCTCCCCTCCCCTGCTCTCCCCTCCCCTGCTCTCCCCTCCCCTGCCCTCCCCTGCTCCCCCCTCCCCTGCTCTCCCCTCCCCTGCTCTCCCCTCCCCTGCTCTCCCCTCCCCTGCCCTCCCCTGCTCTCCCCTCCCCTGCTCTCCCCTCCCCTGCTCTCCCCTCCCCTGCCCTCCCCTGCTCCCCCCTCCCCTGCTCTCCCCTCCCCTGCTCTCCCCTCCCCTGCTCTCCCCTCCCCTGCTCTCCCCTCCCCTGCTCCCCCCTCCCCTGCTCTCCCCTCCCCTGCTCTCCCCTCCCCTGCTCTCCCCTCCCCTGCTCTCCCCTGCTCTCCCCTCCCCTGCTCTCCCCTCCCCTGCTCTCCCCTCCCCTGCTCTCCCCTGCTCTCCCCTGCTCTCCCCTGCTCTCCCCTCCCCTGCTCCCCCCTCCCCTGCTCTCCCCTCCCCTGCTCTCCCCTCCCCTGCTCTCCCCTCCCCTGCCCTCCCCTGCTCTCCCCTCCCCTGCTCTCCCCTCCCCTGCTCTCCCCTCCCCTGCTCCCCCCTCCCCTGCTCTCCCCTCCCCTGCTCTCCCCTCCCCTGCTCTCCCCTCCCCTGCCCTCCCCTGCTCTCCCCTCCCCTGCTCTCCCCTCCCCTGCTCTCCCCTCCCCTGCTCTCCCCTCCCCTGCTCTCCCCTCCCCTGCTCCCCCCTCCCCTGCTCTCCCCTCCCCTGCTCTCCCCTGCTCTCCCCTGCTCTCCCCTGCTCTCCCCTCCCCTGCTCTCCCCTGCTCTCCCCTGCTCTCCCCTGCTCTCCCCTCCCCTGCTCCCCCCTCCCCTGCTCTCCCCTCCCCTGCTCTCCCCTCCCCTGCTCTCCCCTCCCCTGCCCTCCCCTGCTCTCCCCTCCCCTGCTCTCCCCTCCCCTGCTCTCCCCTCCCCTGCTCCCCCCTCCCCTGCTCTCCCCTCCCCTGCTCTCCCCTCCCCTGCCCTCCCCTGCTCTCCCCTCCCCTGCTCTCCCCTCCCCTGCTCTCCCCTCCCCTGCCCTCCCCTGCTCTCCCCTCCCCTGCTCTCCCCTCCCCTGCTCTCCCCTCCCCTGCTCTCCCCTCCCCTGCTCTCCCCTGCTCTCCCCTGCTCTCCCCTCCCCTGCTCTCCCCTCCCCTGCTCTCCCCTGCTCTCCCCTCCCCTGCTCTCCCCTGCCCTGCTCTCCCCTGCTCTCCCCTGCTCTCCCCTGCTCTCCCCTCCCCTCCCCTCCCCTGCTCTCCCCTGCTCTCCCCTGCTCTCCCCTCCCCTCCTCCCCCTCCCCTGCTCTCCCCTCCCCTGCTCTCCCCTCCCCTGCTCTCCCCTCCCCTGCTCTCCCCTCCCCTGCTCCCCCCTCCCCTGCTCTCCCCTGCTCTCCTCTCCCCTGCTCTCCCCACCCTCTGCTCCCCTCTGTCTTGACTTCTGAGTCTCATCAGGGAACGTTGCTGGTGTCTGGCCTGTGTGCAGCCCTTCCTGGGCATCCTGCTCCGCCCTAAGGAAGATGGAGGACACTCCTCTGCAGGGGAGTTCCTGCCTGCCTGCCTGCCTGCCAGTGTGGACCACAGCACCACAGCAGTAGGGCCTCTGCTTTTCTAGGAGTCAGGGGAGGGAGGGCGTGGGGTGGCTCTTGGGTCTGGGGTGTTGGATACGCTCACCATCCTGGTTTTTCTAACATGAGCTTGGTGCTGCTATGCATCCATTAATTGAGTAAATTCGTAGGCGATACTATTTCTCTTGCCTAGACAAATCATTTCTCAGTCTGCCCTATGTTCTCCTGGCCAGATGGGGGTTGCTTGCTTGCTGAACAAGATACACATTCATTCTTCCTCAACATTTGCACTCAAAATGGAGCAAACTTTGGTTTTTATAAAGTGAAGACACTCAGGGCAAAGCACAACCTGAATGCCACTGTTACACACGGTATCGAGTACCTTCAGAGTAGGACCGCTATGACATCCAGGCTGGCCTAGAACCTGTGCAGTCCAGGCTTGTCTTGAACTTACCATCTTCCTGCCTCAGTCTCCCAAGCGCTAGGATTACAGGTGTGAGCAATTGTACTTGGCTGATTTCCTGTCTCTTAACTAGAGGAAGAGGAATGCGGTATGGGATGTCTGTAGCCACTGGTACAGCCGGTGCCCTCTCCCCATCCTGTTAGCGGTAGCTCAGTCATGTGGTCACTTCTAACTGCTGGGAAGGTCTTTATTCTCATCGTCTTTGTTCAGCTGCAAACTAGAGTTGTTATTTGTCTCGGAGATGTAACAAAGGAATTGGGAAGACGTTTTATTATAGATAAAAGTACTCAAGATGAAGGGTGACTTGGGAGAGTTTTAGACAAAGTCTGCGGGACGCAATGCAGGATTACACAGGTTATTTTTTGACAAGGGCAGCTTGACTAGGAGTACTCCGTTTCTTTGTTTTCTCCGGGTACAGGTTACAAACTCAGCACATTTACAGAGGAGCTGTTTTGCTTTGAACACAAAACCCAGTTTGATGGCTGTGGATCCCACATGTAGGCACTATACAGTTTATGAAGTCCAGGTTCCTTTTTTATCTTTAATACTCTTTTAATTGCTTGCTGTCCTGAGTGAGGCCATACCACACCTGCCTCCTGTCCCTCAAAGTGCTCTGATGTTGACTTTGACCTTTCAGATTGCACCAACACATGAGGTCATAGTTTGTTTTTCTCTGTCAAAAATAAATTATTTTTGTCAGTCAGGGGGCTGGAACTCTGGTCCTGAGCGCTGTCCCTGAGCTCTTCAGCTCAAGGCAAGCGCTTTACCACTTGAGCCACGGCACCGCCCCCAGTTTTCCGGTGGTTCATCGGAGATAAGAGTCTCACAGACTTTCCTGCCTGGGCTGGCTTTGAACCATGATCCTCAGATCTCAGCCTCCTGAGTAGCCAGGATGACAGGCGTGAGCCACCGGCTCTGTCACCGCTCTGTCACGATTATTCCACCAAGCATAGCCTCTTGGCTCGTAATGTCACCAATGGTGGGATTTCCTTTGCGTAGTTGAATAATGTGCCCTCATAAATTGTATATGTATACACATACACACACACACACACAGGTTTTCTATATCCATTCATCCATCGGCACACACTTAGGTTTGTCTTAAGCTTTTGGCTCCTGTCGACATGCTGTGGTGAATGTGTTAGCACAGGTGTCTTCTCAGGTTCCAAGGTAGAATTGCTAGATCGTATGGCAGTTCCATTTTTGTGCTTTTGTGAAACCTTGATTCTGCTTTCCATAGTGGCTGATCCCATTTCCACAACTGCCCTCTACAGGACACAACGGGCTCCCTGTCCCTGCACCTTCCCCAACATTTACCTGTTATTTCTTGTAGCTATTGGTCGTCCAAACAAGGCCAGGTGGTTTCTAATCCCATTGTGGTTTTGACTTGTGTTTCCCTGACCACAAATCAATATGAATACCTTCTCATACCGATTGGCCGTGTGTGTGTGTGTGTGTGTGTGTGTGTGTGTGTGTGTGTGTGAATTGTAGCAAGGATTTAGTTTAATAGAGCAGGCTTAAAGCAGGGAGAAATGGAAAAAAGAATCATTTCCTTCCCATCTCCTAAAACAAACGAGAGCCCTTGTATGGGGCTGATGGAGACAGGAACAGCCAGTCTGTGACACTGCAGCCATTGCTGGGGATGGCTGCCACGCATCTACAACCATGCAGAGCCTGGGAAGTCTGGGCTCTGAATTCTAACCTGTGCTGACGTCAGACAAGCAAACACACAGCATACTGACTCCCGCCATCTGAGAGAGCAAAGAAACTTCTCAACCCCAGACTTGAAGAACAGGAGTCACTGGGGTCAGGTGATGGATCTAGAAGAGGAAAGAATTGCCTATGCAATGGATGACAGCAGGAGAGACGGAGGGTGTCCACACTGAGGGAATGGAATTATGCAACACCGTATTTGAGGATCAGATCATACGTGAGGAGCAAGGATGGACCCATGCTCTGTTAGGGCCTGGAATGAGTAGCTTGCTACATACTCAGAAAAGAAAAGCTTGGTTCCAGCTTCTCCGTTTCCTTGGTTCTCCTAAACAGGGTGCCGCGAAACCCGAGGTCCTCATGCGATGGCGGTGAAAGGCTGGAATGCAATGCTGGCGCTTTCTTGCTGACGATAGTCAAAGACAAAGAAAGCCGTGGGAGAGAGGAAACAGGAGACAAATGGAGAGGATAGGAAGGGGAGAGGAAAAGAAAGGAGGGGAGAAGAGAGACGTGCACGCACACCACCCACACTCGGCAAGAACACGGAAGACTGGAAGTCTATAGTTGTGTTAAGGAAGACCTTTCTGCTCATAGTCGCGGGTTGGTTTAATGTTAGGACATGCCAAAATGAGCATGTTGGCAAGGCATGGGATAGTATAAACTGGAATGACGTGACTAGGCCTTCTACAAGACACTGCTTTCTCCAACCTCTCTCAGGGACAGGCTTGAAGGATGTGGTCAAAGAAATTCTCCTAGCCACATGCCAGTGGCCCATCCCTATTATCTTCCAGAGACTGAGCTCAGAGGATCTTGGTTCAAAGCTACTTTGGGAAGAAAAGCTTGCAACATTCCCATTTCCAAAAATAACTGGCAAAAAAATCTGGGCTAGTGGCATGGCTCAAGTGGTAGAGCACCAGATGAACAAGTAAGCAAGCCAAGTGGTGATTAGTATCAGTACCAGAAAAAAACAATTCCCCATGGGTAAGACTAGAATGGCCATATCAGGCAAGCAGATAATTCTACTGTCGTAAAGTAAGCCAATACATTGAGGTTTGCAGATTTTTACTGGCCCAATAATTCAACTTCATATCCAGCTATGCTATGGGCTGGGGCGCCCATGTTTTCTGCTGATACTTGGGCATCGATTTATTCTTCTGAAGGACTGGAAGAGGCTATGTGGTGGGTGGAGCAAGAAGACAGGCAGCCTAACTAATGGCCATGACTCCTAGAATCTGGATCCATGGGTTGTTAAGAGGCTTGTGAGGAATTTCATTTCTGCTTTTGAACCCATTGCATAAACGATGACGAGGAAGCCACGGACACTTCCAGGAGCTTTGGCACCGCCCCCTACTTCCATCACTTTAGGTAGCAGCATCACAAGCCTGTCATCCTCCTACCAGAAGCGTCAGCCTAGCCATGGACTTTGGTGTCCAGCAAGAGAAGCATTCCGACCAGAAGGGGCAAAGTTCTCAAACCAGGGCTCCTCCACAGGGGCATCTTTACGAAGGATCTCGGGGTGCTAGCTCCTCCCACTTTGTTTTCAGGAATGACTTCCTTTCTGTGCTTTGAAGGAGTTCTCTGGGCTGTCCTTTCCTACTTTTACTGAAAGCGCAGGAAGGTCGTGTGGCCCCTGCCGCACTGCCCTGCCTCTGCAAGGCCGTTTCCTAATCTGGGAAAGCACAGAGAACTCGGTGTTGATAGTGTCTGTGAACAAACAGTCCTGCTGTGGTTCCGGCCTGAAGAATGCTGCCCATTGTCCTCTGTGAAGGCCTGTGGGTCCAGCCGAGAGCAGGGCGTCATTTCTATAGTTATGATCATCGCGAGAGTCCACAGGCAGCCGCTACAGACTCTTTCAGATGCCACAGGTGTTTCCACACTCATTAGGATACTTTTCTTCCTCTCTCAGGGCTGTTCTGATAGGAAGAAAGCAGGTGTAGCCCTCGACTCTGAAAAGAAGGGCTCTGACACATCTCACGTTTTGATCTAGAGTTTAGTTTTGTTTAATTTAGTGAGAGTTACTTCTTTTCTTGGGGATCTACTGGATCTCAAAAAAATGATCTTATAGCTTTATCATCATGATCATCATTCTTATTCTTCTAAACATGATGTGGCCATATAACCTAGTCTGGCCTTGAAACTCTAGAAAACGTGGCTATGGAAACTAAAACCTCAAAGGGAGCTCGCAGGCCTGTAATCCTAGCTACTGAGGAGGGTGAGATCTAAGGATCACAGTGTGAAGCCAGCTAGGGCAGAGAATGCCCAGTGAGACTCTTATCTCCAAATTAACCACCCAAACACAAGAAGTGGAGCTGTCTGTGCTTGGAGTAGAAGAGAAAGAAGAATTCCCTGAGAATCAGAATCACAAGTCCGCATTCACGTTGGCTTGGGGTTGTGAACGTGTCATTCCTCCCACCGAGGGGCCCCAGGTTGGCATTGCCCCAACTGCACAGCAAAGGCAAAGCCCATCCTACCTGTTGGGCTCCTTTAATACATTGCTTTCAGCTGTTTCTAAGCGCTGACTCACACTCTTAAAGTTGACAGCAGTCTGAATGCACGGGATTCTGGACCAACTGGTTCTTGGCCCATCTGGCTGCTCCCTCTTTCACGCCTTCTGAGGAAGACACCCAAGGGCAAATTCTGGGGGAAGGAGCTAAGCCATCTGGGGGGAAGGGGGGAGGGCGGGGCGGTCCACCTGGACAGCAGGCAGGACCACACAGCACAGCCCCCTTGTATGCAGGCCCTTAGCATCGATTAGAGCAGCCAGAGTTCCACCTGATCTGTAACCTAAGGGTCACCTTGCTGTTCATCAAATTATGCCCAAAGAGCCTACATCTGAGTCTTGAGAAATGAGAAAGACTTGCAGCCACCATCTCGACTGCCATCTTCTGGTTGATCTGGAGCTTGGCCAAAGTCATTGGGCATTTCTTCTGTTCTGGTAACCCATGCATGTGGACTGCCAGTGCTCACCTGGGGCTGGTTATTGTGGTCTTCGGTGGAGTAGAGAGAGACACAGAGACACGGTGGAGCCCGGCGTCAGACTACCTCCATGTGGCTCGCGGTTCTGTTTTGTTTCTAGAAACTGGAGGAGGCTAGACAGAGATTTGTTTCATCCACATTATTTAAATCCATAAGCACTTTTCAGTCATCCATTTGTATAACTGAGCTTTAAGAAAACACGACTCGAATAAGTCTTGTCTGAAGTTTTGTTCTAGCGGTTTGAATTTCTAGAGGGAATGATTCTGCCTGAATAGAAAACGGATCTGTTTTCTGGAAGACAAAAGTAGCAAATGGCTCCCTCTCGTGGTGAATGACAGCTCTCCCGTGCAGGGCCTCCAGCTCCAGACGCAGGACGGAAGGCTTTTGTTCAGAAATACTCCGTGGAGCAAGGCACTGCTGTCTCACGCCTGTCATCCTAGTGACTGAGACCGGAGGATCCCAGTTCAAAGCCAGCCAGGGCAGAAAAGTCCCCGTGAGACTCTTATCTCCAATGAACCGCTCAAAATCCAGAAGTGGCATCATGGCTCAAAGAGGTAAAGCGCTAGCCTGGAGCAAAAGAGCAAAGGGACAGTGCCCTCAGTTCAAGCCCCACAGCTTACAAAAAAAAAAATCCCATTCAAACACAAAAATAGAAAAAATAACTTCATTAATCAAGTGACTTCATTTTCAAAAATGTGATAGAAAATGATAGAATTCTTCCATTTGTCTTTCACCTATGGAACCAATGGAACATAGCTATCGTGATGAAAAGGGAGGAATTTGATTAGCTTCCACAAGTGGTCTGACACCGTCCTGGCCACGTCCACGCTGGAGAGCTGGGAAGCCGTGGCTGTTGAGTCCAGGCAGCTGAAGCCTCGGAGCAGAAGGAACCCAATGGGGCAGCCCCCCACTCGCCCCCCCCCGTCCCCAGGCCCCAGCTGGGGGGAGTCTGCTTTGGAGAGCTGAAGAAGCTCTTCAGAGTCCAAAGTTCAGTGAGAGCCAAAGAAGGAAAAAAAAAATGCACCTGCTTGAGCAGACTTGATTTTCACCCATGAGTGGTCTTCCCCTTTTCCTCTTTTGTTCCACCCAAGCCCCCATCCCATGGGGTGGCACCATGCAAAGACGTGAGGGCTGAGGCTCGAGCCTGAGATTGCTTCCTCAGGGGCAGCGTGCAGTTGCCCTCAGGGCTGCCCCAACCAGGCGGGGCAAAGGGACAAAGTTGGCTTCATTCTTGTGAAAAGGACAACCTTTGGCAGGCATGATGAATGCTGTGGTTTCTAAACCTAACCTGGCCTTCCGACCCGCAGCAGAGGGGGGTCAGTGAAGGAGCTAGCCAATCCAACAGCAGCCAAGGCAACAGCAGCCAATCCAGCAGCAGCCAAGGCAACAACAGCCAACCCAACAGCAGCCAATCCAACAGCAGCCAATCCAACAGCAGCCAATCCAACAGCAGCCAACCCAACAGCAGCCAACCCAACAGCAGCCAATCCAACAGCAGCCAACCCAACAGCAGCCAACCCAACAGCAGCCAATCCAACAGCAGCCAATCCAACAGCAGCCAATCCAATGACAGCTAATGCAGCAGCAGCAAAGCGGCTCACAGTATGGCCTGACTTGGAAAGCTTTGGCACACAGAGGTGAAAGGGACTGTGCAACTTGCCTGTTGTTCTAGTTTGATTTTAGAAATAAAGCCATTCGGGCAGCTGCTGGGAGCCACATCTGGGAAGAGGGGCGGCCAGCGTCAAGGGCATAGTTAGACCGAGATGACAGGCGGCCATCCTGTCTGGCTCATCGCAGGCAGCAGGCCCCAGCGGACCAGGGTACAGGTGCAAATAGAGTGAATGCTCATGTCCCCTTCCTGAGAAGTCACAAACATGAAAACAAGGCTAGACCCGAACATGATAATGATGTCCATTCTCCTTCAGTCTTTGCAGAAAGGTCACAGGTTTCGCTCACCGGACTTGTCCGTTGCTCTCTCTGTCTCTGTTCCTGGCTCACAGTGACATCATGCGGAGACAAGCAGTCTGCCTTTTGTTTGTTGGGTATTTTTGCAGTGTTAGTTATTGCTTTTAAAAATGTCTTATTACAGATTTAATGTGGGCTACTTACTTTAAAGAGTGAAAATATAGGAAAGTAAAAAGAAGGAAATGAAGCTGGGCACCAATGGCTCCCACCTATAATCTTAGCTACCAAGATCTAAGGATCTTGGTTCAAAGCCAGCCCAGGAAGGAAAGTCTGTGAGACTCTTATCTCCAATTAATCACCAGAAAACCGGAAATGGGTCTGTAGCTCAAAGCAATAGAGCACTAGCCTTGAGCTCAAAGAGGCTCAGGGACAGCGCTCAGGCCCATGTCTAGCAAAACAACAGTAACAAAAAAACCATTATTAACCATCAGGTATATTTTTCATCCAGTCTTTTAAAAGTGTTCCTATTAATATATAAACCTCCTGTAGTTCCCACTGGGATTACTGTTCAAATAATAAACTGAACTTGCTGAAGTGATTAAATGTTCTTTAGAAACTCCATTTTGATGAGTACATACTTATTTAGGATACGCATATATTCTTCTTTTCCTGACTGATTATGATAAGTCCTACTGTGGTCAGTCTACAAAGCCATGGGGGCAGAGGGTCAGTACTAGCGCTAAGACGCAGCCTGAAAAGCCACGCCCATGTTGACCTCCTTCTCCAGCGAGGCCCCACCCCCTAAGAACCCAACAAGCTCCCAGCTTCGGATTGAACTCATGGATGCACCAAGCAACAGGGTCACCCATGGGTCCTCCACTCCCATGTCACCAGCAGCAACCAGTTGGAGACCAAGGCTTCAATACATAAGCCTGGTGCGCCATTTTGTCTCCCAACCACAGCTCTATGAAGAAATCCTGACTAACACGAATTGAAGGGGGAATGGGAGCTGAGCAAGCGGAGATGCACAATTCTTTTAAAGATCTTTTGCCCCAAACTCGAGGGACGGGGTGGAACGCCAGATGCATGTGGCAGTCAGACTTTTTTAACTCCTATTATTATGGTATAGCTGTTTGCTGCAACTGGGCATGATCCAGTACAAGTGAGACTGTTTAATATAGTTGAGAGAAAATGATGGAGGTAGGCGGGCATGCCCAGGAAGCACAAGAAGAGCAGCTTACCTCCGCCCTGAGCCGGAGGGCATCGTCCCATTAGCAGAAGAGGAAGAAGAGCGCACAGCTGTGTGATTTTCTCCAGCAATGTCCAGCTTCCGACGGCAGACATGCACCAGATCCCGTCTTAACTACCGTTGATGTATTCCCGGTGGCATGCAAGAAGGGCTGTGCAGAAGGTTCTGGCATGGCTGCAAGGGAGTGGCTCTGTGGAGGTCAGGCCGGCTGTCTTCGGACAGGCCTGCATGCACTGCTTATGCGAGTAGAAATAGGAAGGAGAGCGCTAGGCCATGGCTGGAGGCTGGGAGAGGGCTGGGAGCAGCAGGTGGCTGCTGGGGGACAGGAAGTGGTGGGCGGGCCCTCTGGTCTTCAGCCCGGACTATCCCTCCGAGTGGAGAGACAGAAGCGAAGAATGTCGATTTCACCTCAGTCTCCCTGTGTCCGCGTTTCGCTCTTTCTCTTTCTCCCCCGCCCCCCGCCCCCCCACTGTATCAATTTTCCACCTGGAATCACTTACTCCTGTTTTGCTGGGTGAATGAAGTTTGGAGTGGAGTCCACTGAGGGGATTAGAGGTGTGGGGAAGGATTTTCATGGCGATTGAAAGGCTGACAACATGACGGCTGAAATCACTGCTGAAGGAGTTAGAATGATGTGGACTGTTACATTGCCCATACTGGGTCTTGAACTCATGACCTTGTGCTCTTGCTTGGCTTTTTCTGCTTAAGCCTGTGCTCTACCACTTGATCCACACCTCTACTTCTAGCCTTTTGCTGGTTAATTGAAGATAAGGGTGTCAGGGACTTTTCTCCCTGGGCTGGCTTTGAACCCTTGGAATGTGTCCTTAAATAGGATCATGGACCTGAGGCACGCAGGAACAGTGACGCGGATCCCTGACCGAGAGCCATGGCAAATCTGCTTCAGTTCATAATTTGCTGCTTGCAGGGATTTGTCACAATGGCGCAAAGCTGACCAATGTGAGCTGAGTGGTGAGAAATCTCTACAGCCATTCCTACGTCACCTTGGCTCTTTGCCCCAGCTCTCCATAGAGAATTCAGGGGGAAGAAATCAATCTACAAAATCTTTCTTCCACAAAGGAAAGCCAGGCTGTCACTCCCATAGTCTACTTAGGCTATTTGTCACCAAGTGAAAATAAAAACTAAATTCGGCCCAGGCTCATGCAACACTCCATCCCAGATTTAAAAGATGAATAAAAACCGACATTTAAAAATGTTAAGAGGTTGTCACGTGTGAGAACTCCTGAAATCCTAAGTATTCCAGAAGCTGGGATCCAAGGATTTGAAGCCAGCCTGGGAGAAAAAGGCTACAAGATTCTTACTGCCAATTAGTGACAAAAAGGCCAGAAGTGGAACTAGGGTTCAAGTGGTAGACTGCTAGCCTTCAGAGAAAAAGCTATGTCAGAACACAAGAGCCTAAGTTCAAATTCCAGTACTGGCACACACACACACACACACACACACACACACACCCCTTCTAGAAGAATAGTTTGTGACCCTGGGTGAAGCAATGGCTTCTTAAGAACAGACAGACAGCTACTACAAACTATTGATTGATACGTCAACTACATTAAAATTAAGAACTTGTGTTCTTTAAAAAAAATAGAGGAGTGAAAAGAAGTCTCCGACTGCAGGAATATATTTTCAGTGTATAAACATATGAAGATTAGAAGCCAGAATAGAAAACGAACTCCATGACTCAATAGAAAAGTGACAAATTATTAGAAAAATGAGCAAAAGACACAAACAGATGGTTGCAGAAAAGACAACACAAAAAGCTCATAAATTTGTATTTGGATACTTCACCTCAGTAGGAACTAGACAGATTTAGATTAAAGCCTGGAGAAACTGATTCAGACCCAACAGACTGGTAAAAACTAAGATGCTTTATAAAACTAGAGGAAGGAAGGAGCAGAGCTGTGTTTACAAGCAGATGCGGTGGATGCGTCGATAGAGAAGACATCGCTTTGGGACACTTAGCAACGCCTTTGCCAAACCCCCTTCTTCTGGGTCCTGTGGGTTCGCTCATAGATCTGTATTCAAAACTGCACCAGAAAGCGTGAACACAACTGTGTCAGGAAACCAAGCCAAAGCAATCCCCATGTCCATCTGTAGTGAAACTTTCTTTTCTTCCTTCCTTTCTTTCTCTCTCTTCTTTTGTACCAGTCCTGGGACTTGAACTCAGGGCCTGGGCGCTATCCCTGAGCTTTGTTGTTCAAGGCAGCACTCTATCACTTGAGCCACAGCTCCACTCTCCGTGTTCTGGTAGTTTTAGTCTATCATGAAGGAAGGATGTGGCAGAGCAAAGTTGCTTGTCTCATGATGACCAGAAAGCACAGAGAGAGAGAGAGAGACAGACAGAGACAGAGACAAACAGAGACAGAAAGACAGAGACAAACAGAAAAGAGAGACAGAATCACAGAGATAGGGAGGGTGTGGCAAGAGGTCAGGGGACAAGACATAAAATCTTGTGCACATTTCCCCAGGATCCTCCGGAAGGCCCGGCCTCCTCCATCCCTGCCTCCCTCAACGGGGCCACATTATTCTGTCCATCACTCTCAGTGATTGGAGTCGCACGCAAACCATCAGCCCGTGTTTCTTCCGTTAAAATCTTCTTGAACTACTCGTACACTCTTTCATACTCTTATCTATTTCACAACTAAGTTTTCATTACACATTTACGATTCTGTAAAGTAAATATTTGGGCATTTTCCTTGATCATCTGCAGACATATTTCTCAAAACATTTTAACAAACTAGAAATCACATTCATAAGTAAAAAAAAAAAACTAGAAAACCTTAATAATGGATCGTATTTACCTTATGCTTAAGGAATTTTCTGGTAAGTTTTCACAATAACTTTTCCTCTATTGAGATGTTATAGTAATTACCTACAACTTTATCCTTTAATTTGTTTTTATTATTTGCACATATGCACAGATCCTAATTTGGGATTGTAAAGTCAAACCGCTTTTCTCTGTGCGGTGCCGGTGCTGGGCTTGCACTCAGGACCCCCTGCTCCCACTTGGCTTTTCTTCTTCAAGTCTTGGTGCTCTATCACTTGAGCTTCAGCTTTTTGCTGGTTAATTGGAGATACAAACCTCAAAGACTTTCCACCTAGGCTGGCTTTGAACCCTGATCCTCAGATTTCTCAGCCTCCCGAGCAGCTAGGATTAGAGGCGTGATCACCAGTGCCCAGCTTCAAAAAACTCCTGTGTTCCCAGACTCTGCAGAACAGCTTTTCCTGGTGTACGCATGGGTGCAGCTCCATTGGTGAGGACTGAAGAGTTCCAGAAGGAAGACATTGCCCTGTAACCTTCTGCTGGCGTGGGGCTCCGAGGTGTCCGAGGCGGGGCCAGGTCTTCCCCGGAGACACTGGGAAGGAAGCGAGTTCTTTCTGATCCTCGTGTGGGAAGAGTCGTGCTAT